TCCATGATGGAGACATTTCTAATCAGATCTCAAAATCTTATGCATCAGAAGTAACTGGGAGGGGTCTAATAAAACCAGCAGAGCATCAGATCTGGTAGGTTTGTGGAAGAGCCTTGAAAATGTGCATTTCCAACAAGTTTCCAGGTAATGTTAATAATGTTTACCTTTGAGGACCAGTGCCCTAAATATTTTGAAATATCAGTAATTCTTAAATAGACATTTGGTGGTTTCTTCAATGATTTGCAACCTTGCTTTTAGATTAGAACCCGAACAGGTTGGTCTCAAGGGAGTTGATGATATTCAAGAAAGTTGGAGGCTCCATAAAAATGGAAAACCATTGCCATGGCTGGTTTTGTTGTCCTGGGTCTGGCCAGCTGTTTTGGAGTCAGATGGTTCTGATGGTTGGAGTGTGTTGCCATGGTAATGTTCTTCCCCACAGATGAAAACCCCAGAGACTGAACCTATACACGTGACTGGTGTTTTTCATGGCTTTTCCCATGGGATGCTACATAGTTCCCTTCCATCATTCCTGCTTGGCATTTCTGGCAAGCTGAGGTGGTCAGGAGTCTCCAGGTCCCTTTTTGATCTAGCCTTAGAAGTAAAATGAACTTCCTTGGTCAATCCAATGTGCCGCTTGTTTAGAGCAACAGATTTGAAGAAGCTAATTTGGGTATGAGGCAGAAGTGGGTTGGCAGGCCATCCCAAGTCTATGGGGGAAGGAGCTTTCTGCTCCCTTAATTAGCAGCTCTTGCCTTGTAGAACCGTCTGAATTCCCAGCTAGGGAGGGTGTGCCCCTCCTGCAGCATTTAGCATGAAGGTCGTTACCTCTCTAGATACAAAGCATGGCACGGAACATGACTACTGTCAGATCCCTTTGTTGCATCTTCCCAGACAGATATCTTGATGTTCTTCCCTTAGGGTGTTGCACACACAGTGTCCTGGTAGCCACCAGCTCACCAGAGGACAATTCAAGGTATGGCTCTGCAGACCTTACAGGATCTGGGCTGTCATTGCTACAGGCCCTTTCCTTGTGTGCATCTCTGCTATACAGATAGGCCGATTAGAGGACCCAAGTTTGAACATCAGCAATTGTGTGTGTGTGTGTGTGTGAGAGAGGGGGGGGGGAGGGAATGAGGGAAGGAGGGAGAGGAGGAAGGGGAGGGAGGGGAAGGGAGGGAGAAGGAGAAGGAGAGGAGAGCCTGTGTCCCTGGGGCTTGAATCAGGGCCTGGGTGCTGTCCCTGGGCTCTGCGCTTTTTTTGCTCTACAACTTGATTCATAGCTCCACTTCTGGCTTTTTGGCAGTTAAATGGAAATAAGAATTTCACAGACTTTCTTGCCTGGACTAACTTTGAACCATGACCCTCAGATCTTAGCCTCCTGAGTAGCTAGGATTACAGGGCCAGGCGTGAGCTACCGGTGCCTCGCAGCAATTGATTTTTAAAGAGGGAGCCATTGCTAACTGATCCGCTGAACAGCTTCTCTGTGATACTTTTATGGCCACATTGGATCTGATGTAAAGCTGCTACTTTACCCAAGAATGACTGGAACAGAGATGGGCCAGGCACTAGACAGTATATTTCACTGACTTATGTAGATTCATTAGTTATAAATTGAATTTATGTCCCAAGTTTATGGAATAGCCTTAGTTGTTATTTAAGAATTTAATAAAGTATGCATCTTTTCTGGTTGTGGGCATTACTACCCCAGAGACCCTCTTTGAATGGATCAGAGGGACAGGAAAGAAAACACATTCATAACCACAAAGTATCTAAGCTCAGTGAGTCCAAAGGAAAGAGATGGACACTTACCAAACTATGTGCCAGATGCTTGGCACATTCTTGCTTGATCCTTGAAATATCCAAGTAGGGCTTTTTTTTTTTTTTAAGGCCTGTTTTACTGGTGAGAAAACTTGACTTTCAAGAGATAAGGAAGTATCTGGGCATGGTTCTACAAGCCTGTAATACCAGCTGCTCAGGAGGCAGACACTGGTAGGATCACAGTTTGAAGCCCAGCTTTTGGGGGGGGGGGAGATAGCTAGACCCCCATCTCAACAAATAAGTTAGATGTGTTGGTACATGTCTGTTATCCTAGTTACACAGAAATTGTCAACTGGAGCTCTTTGTCCAAGGCCAGACCTAGGCAAAAAGTCTGAGATCTTATTTGAAAAATAACAAAAGCAAAAAAAAAAAAAGGATGGGAGCATGGCTTGAGTGGATTGCACCTGCCTAGCAAGATCAAGGGCCTAAATTCAAACTCAAGTACTGCCAGAAAAATAAAGTAAGCTGCCCTCCTTAGGTCACTGAGCTGGTTAGAGAACGCTTTCTACCTCACCTCTCTAAATTATTTCTTCCTCCTACCACGTTATAGCGTCTTTGTTTTTCAGAAACATATGCTTTGGCCTGAAAAAAATTTTTTTTTTGCCAGTTCTGGGGCTTGAATTCAGGGCCTAGGCCCTGTCCCTGAGCTTCTTTTGCTCAAGGCTAGCACTGTACCATTTAAGCCACAACACAGGTTTTTTGTTTGTTTGTTTGTTTTGTTTTTTAGTAGTTTATTGGAGAAAAGAGTCTTACAGACTTTCCTGCTCTGGCTAGCTTCAAACTGTGAGTCTCAGATCTCAGCCTCCTGAGTAGCTGGGATTACAGATGTGAGCTACTAGCACCCAGCCTGAAAAAAATTTATGAGTAGGGAAGCTGTTCCTAAGGCAGTGAAACCCACATTGTGCCACAGGATGTAGGCAATCAAAATGCAAAGCCAACCTCTCTATATGTGTTAAAAGATGACATTTAAAAAGACATAGAAAAGCACATGGGTTATGTGTTCTGTTAGTGGCTCTTTGTAAATTGAACTCACCTGTATACCACACCCCAAGGAAGAATTAGAAACCCAAGTGTATTCCTTCTGAGGTTCATCTGTTTGCTTTTGCCAGTTGGAGCCTGGTCCGAATTATATTAGAACTGACTGGTCATAATATTTATCCCATCCTGACTCTGTCACAGCAGTATTTGAAGGTAAAAATTATAAGCCAGCTAATGAACAAGCTAGTCAGTTATGAGCCCTTAAGATTCACTCAGGGCTTAGGACCTTAGGAGGGGACTCCCCTCTCCCAAGACCAAGGCAAAAGTATAAATCCAAAAAACATCACCAAGTTACAATTTTATAGTTCCTCTAATATAAATGAAGTGGAGCCAGGATGCCAGGGCAGCAGACAGCTTTCCTACACCCATGCATGCACACATAGACATGCATATGTGCAGAGACAACCTCTTCTCTGAGGGTCCTCATTGGCACAGCTCCCAACCAGGAAGGATGCCCCTGGCTAGAGGGCCTTGTACAGGCTGTTGAGGTCATGGCCCAGGGTTGCCTGGCTGGTATGCTGCAGGCCTCAGAACCCCCATCCCCACCCTCACCCACAGCTGCCCTTTCTTCTCCATCTGCTCTCTGCTTTCAAGCAGGCCAACGCAGAGATAGTCCTGCTCAGTCATCACTGCCTGTCCGTAGCCAAAACATGTTTTGAGCCAGTGTCCCTGCCAGCAGGACCTGGATCCTACCAGGACCATAAAGTCTGAAGTCCTAAGCCACCTCTGCTTCCCTCCAGCCTTGTCCCCCAAGCAGGCTCCAACCCTAACAGCCCCTTGGGATTATGTGATGCTCAGCCCCATCACACCTGGGGAGACTCGCCAACTGCAAGCACTTCTTACTAACGATGTTTACAGAATGGTCCCCGAGGGCCAGATTTGGTGTAAACCACTGACCTCATATCTCATTCATTCCCCCCCCCCCCAATGTTCACAGAAAGTTTCTTTATCCCCCCTTTTATAGATGAAGAGCCCAGGGCTCAAGGGAAGCAGAATCACTGCTTAGGGTTACACAGCCACTTAAGTGATGGAGCCGAGTGTCTGAGCAGTCCTACCCAGCTGCTACGTACAACTGATCTTGAATTTAGTAGTTAGCAAGCACCTACTGTGTGTCAGAGGTGCCAGAGACAGCTGTAAGCCAACAGATAAAGCCCATACCTGCACAGAAGTCACCTGGAAAGGACATCCTCTGTGAATGAATTGCCTTGGAGCTGTGTCTCAGCACTTTGAGAGAAACCCAAGTCCCTACCCCATGGCTTGCCCTTGATCTCCCCAGCTCCCCCTCTGTAGGGAGATGATAGTTGAAATCCCAGGGTGTCTGAGTCTGTGGGCCCCATGGATCATGAACTGTGTTTCATGGAGCAAAGCTTCAGGCCTGGAGTTTCTCCTGAAGCCTTCCCTGTCTCTGGATGAGGGAAAGCAGGTACAAGCCTACAGCCCTTTGCTATGGAGGACCTATCTCTGTCAGCCAGCTGACAGTACTCATGCTAGCCTGATCAGAGGGTCAGTGCCCATGGCTACCCCGCTCCCAGCCCTGCCACCTCCACATGGTCTTCTGCCTGATTTTTTTTTTTTTAAACATCTCCCTACACAAAGAGCCCTGGTGCTGTGGCTGGCGCTCAGCTGCTGGAGTGGGGCGGGCCCTTCAGAAAGGCCTCAGGGTGGAGGCAGGAGCCACCCAGGTGATGGGAGCTAGTCTCCTGGGACCTCAGCCCAGGACCACAGTGAAAGGTTACTGCTAATTGGTGAGCTCCTGATGGGGCTGCATCTATTTAGCACTCTCCCCTCCCCAGAGACTTCCAGGATGGTCTTGGCACAGCCTGTGATTTGAGAGCTCCCGCCTGAGTCTGGCACAATCTGTCTAGAATTGTGAACACCGAGCCTCTTGGTTTTTAATTTGTACTTGCGTTGCCGTATTTCTTTGCCCATTGTTGTTGGTAGATTTAGTAGCAGCCCTGACTCTGATACCCCCTCCCCGGGTGCCCTGGCTCCCTCCTTTCCCCAGCCCCCAACCCCACTATTGGAGGCCATGCTGGGCCAGGGAGCCGCATGGTCCCTGCCCTCCACCCATGGCTGGGCCCCAGGGTACAGCTCTCACCCGCCATCAGCCCTGACACTAACACAGCTTGTCCACTCTGTCGCAGGGGGCAGATGGCCTGTCGGAGCCCGAGGGCATCTCTCTGAAGCGGGTTGCTGTGGTGGAAGATTTCTTTGACATCATCTACTCGATGCATGTGGAGAGCTCTGCAGAGCCAGGCAAAGCCCCCAAGCACGCTGGGCAGAAGAAAACCTACCGAGCGGTGAGATTTCTGTCTCTGCCTCCACTGGCAGCCCCAGGCCTTGGCAGGAGGCCATGGGCTCAGCACATGTTGGGCGGGGGCGGGGCAGGGAGCTGAGGCGTGATGAAGCGGCCTTTGGGGACCCAGGGGGGCACGGGGTAAGGGCATGGCAGCCAGAGATGGCTGAGGGGGTGAGGGGCGGGCTCTGCGGTTGGTTGGAGTACAAAGGAGAAGCAGGTTGAAGGGCAGAGGAGGAAGGAAGGAGTGGGCCCTAGCAGGGAGGACATCCTCCTCTTCTCAGTTTGTGCTTCAACCCACCCCCCCATCTCATCTGTCACTTGCAAGCCCCCTACCTTGTGGGGGTGCAGGGGAGCCACAGATAGTAGGAACCTAGGAGCCTGTGTCTCTACGGCATGGCATGTGTGTCATGCCAGGCCTGTCCGAGAGCGCTTCCTGTGTAGGAGCTTATCCAGTTTCCCTGAGTCCTGTTCAGTATGCCTGGGCTTCCCCAGGGGATATCAGAGGGCCCATGTCCCAGCCCTCCAGGAAGTTTGGGGTCTGGAGGCTAAAGGCCAAAGCAAGATACACAAAAGCAGACATAAGTCCAAGACCAGCTTTGAGAGAGCAAGAACCCAAGTACCTGAGGTGTTCAACAGAGGCTCTGCCAGCCCCAGGCCTTGTAGAGACTTGGGGACTTTGTGGAGAAGGTGGTATCTGCTTAGAAGAAAGTTTAGAAGCTTTGCCCAATGTGTGTCTTCCTCCCTCCCCTCCCCCCACGGTCTGCCTCATGTCTGAATCTGTCACTGTGGTTCATGCTCAGCTCTGAGCCCATGAAGCCAGGCCTCACAGCTGTCCTGTAACCAAGGCACTGGGGTCCCATTTGCCAGTTAAGGAAACAGATCCAGAGACCTGAACCACTTGTCCAAGGTCATACAGCACCGGAATGGCAGCTGGTGTCTTTACCTTCCTTCCTGCTTACTCCCCAGAATCCTAGAACCCTGCCCTCTGTGACCAGACTTCTCCACCTAAGATGGTCACCTAAGGTGATGTGAACCTCCCACCCTTGTCCCAAGTTCTGGGTGTGGACAGCCTCAAACTGTAGCAGAGGTGGCTGAAAGTCTATAATGTCATTACATGCCTGATTCTTAGAAGAGCTAACAACTTGGTAGTCCTGGTCCTCAGATGATGTCCATTTCCCTGAATGGGTATTAAAGATGGACCCCATGCCAGGGGTCTTAGAGTGGCATGAGGCCAGGCTGAGGGCAGTGGGGGGGCACCCCATCTCTCTGCCTCTCCTGCTACTTAGTGTGTGCTAAGTGGTTTGGGGTTAGAGTCTGGAGTATTTCCACTTGAGGGCCATAGAAGAAGAGAAAGTCCCTCAGGACTGATGAGTCTCAGCATGTTTTCTCGGCACTAAGCCTACCACAGTGCTGGGCACAGGGCATGTGTCAGGCTCTGCCCTTAGCACTTTAGCATACAGTGCTGAGCTTTGCCTGAGTGCAGGCTGCATGTGTGAAGCAAGTTCTGCTCTTAACCCATTTTTAAGCTGAGGAAACAGGCTCAGAGAGCCAGCCTGCCTGCCTGAGGTCACTAGGCTGGTGTTTCAGAGGCAGACAGCTGGCCACTACACATCCTGCCTGTCCATAAACCTCCTGTGGTCAGCTAGTGAACCCAGCCTCTTGCTGTCTTCTGGGTGGATGGGCTTGGGCTGGCCCATCCACGTGATTTCCCTGTCCCTCAGTGCTGGACACTGAGTATTACCCACAGGCTTAACTTGGTTGGGATCTGCAGCCTCTATACCATGGAGAAGACAGGGCAGGGCCTGGCTAGTCCTGACAATGCCTGTGTCCTTGGGTCAAGTGGACATCCAGCCCTTTGCTCTGTACTTCCTGACTTCTCATCCATATGCCCGGCGCATGCCCCACTTCCTGTTGCCCAGCCTGGAGCTGGCACATGACTGGCATCAAGCCAGCTGGGCTGCACACAGAGCTGGAATTTCAGCAGCGGAGCCAAGGCCAAGTCGAGCAGGCCAGGGCTCCCCCCCCCCCCCCCCCGCAGAGGGTGTGAGGCTGTGGAGGCCGGCACCCTCCCTCTTCCCTGTATGCCTCCTCACCCTTCCCCTCCTCTTCTCCATCTGTCACCCTTCTCATGCACCCTTTTCCTTTTTCAGGGGCAGGGATGGTGCCAGAATGGTTTTGTCCCGCTCTTTTCATCTGCTCCCATATTTTTTCCACCCAGGCCAAGCTCAGCCTCACTGCAGATAGAAGGACCCCACCCCCACCCCGCCAGCCCATCCCTGCCTGTTGAAAGAGCCCCCAAGGAAAACCCATGCTGATGGTTGCAGAGAGGCACAGCCTGGCACCACAGGGGTTGCGTCAAGCCCTTGGCTGAGGCGATTTTGGATTTGTCCCCTTGTGTTTTGCCAAAGCTGAATCCTGGGACTGCCTCAGACTTTAGAGGCTGTCCAGAATTCTTACAGGCCCTGGGTATGGCTCCTGTAGTGAGGTGTGCAGATTTGCTCAGGCCACTCAAGGAGAGTAATTCTGAAGTAGGAAAAAAAACTACCTTGCACCTACTGCTGTCCAGCAATAGATCAGAAAGGGCAGGTAATGAGCTCTCTAAGCCTGGATGTATTTGAGCCAGCACTAGATGATATGTATATCAGATAATGCAGGGCAAGTCCTGCCCTAGAATCTCAATGGCCTCACCAATGCCAAGTCTGGAGAAGGTTCCAGGTGGTCCCTTAAAGTCCCCTTGAGCCCACAGAAGGCTGTTTCTTTCTCAAGGAGCATTCCTGCATTTCCAGTTTCTGCAGCCATCTGGGTTGGAGTGGTTCTTTTGCTTCCTTTTTCTCTCCCAGGGTACTGAGGCCAGATCAGCTTCCAGAGCCCAGACCTGGCTACCCAGACCACTTTAGAGTTGGGGCCAGATGTGGTCAGCAGCTGCTCCAGGCCCACCATGTGCTAATCCACCCACAGGGCAGAAGGAGGATCTTGTAAAGTGGTGCAAATCCCCCCAATTGGCCTCATCTGTCTTTGTCGTTCTCCGAGTTGGGAGTGAAAACGGGGCCTTGCAAGTCAGCGACTCTGCAAATAGCTCCTGCTCTCCCTGCCAGCAAAATCCCTCTGTTTTTACTACTAAGAAAAATGGAAAAGGCAAATTCACACATGGGTGTCTGTCCAGGTAGAAGGACCAGAGAGAGAGCAAGACTGTAGGCAGCCTAGGGCAGCTGGTTAGAGATGGGGGCTTGGAGGTGCCCCCTTGGAACATGCATCCACCTCTGTCTGCTTCATGCTTTTGGCAGGTGCATGGGAGTCTGTTTCTAGAACAGGATCTGCAGTTCTAGAACCATCTGAAAATCATTGTTTTATGTAAGCACCCATAAGGGTCGTCCTTCTGGTTTCACCTCAGTTCACAGTCTTGTGACCTGAGGAATCCCTGTCTGCAAACAGAAATAGAGACCCCATTTCTGGTCCTGGGCAAACCTTGAGGGTGAATCAAAAGCTACCTGCTTTTAGGGTTGGGGTTGGGGAGAGCAACCTCTTCTACCCTACAGCATTGTAGTGCTAGGCTGGTCTGTGTTTTACTGACTTTTCAAGGAGCTCAAAGCCAGGCTACAGACCTTGCAGCTGTGCAGGCAGGGCTCCGCACTGGCCCTTCCACCCCTCTCTGAGATTCAGGGCCAACCTCTGTCCTGTGTTCTCCTTTCCTGTGGCATTTCAGCCAGCCCTGGCCCACTGCTGGGGCTCTGCTAAAGCCTATGAATGTGGTGCTCTCTGTAGTTCAGGTGGCAAGAAGAGCCCTGCTTACCTGTGTGTAGGCCAGGGGACCCTCCTTGAACCTTTCAAAAAGTGTCTCTAAACCGAGCAATGGTGGCTCATGCCTGCAATCCTAGCCACTCAGGAGGCTGAGATTCAAGGATTGCAGTTCAAAGCCAGCTCGGGCAGGAAAGTCCATGAGACTTATCTCCAATTAACCACCAGAAAACTGGAAGTGATGCAGTGGTTCAAAGTGGGAGAGTGCTACCTTTGAGCACAAAAGCTCAGGGACTAAAAAAGAAAAAAAAAAAAGAAAGTGTCTCTGCCCATGGCAAGAGATGAACAAGCTCCTCCAGCACAGCCTCCCCCTGCTCTTCCCTGCTGACTGTGCATCCTCCTCCTTAAGCCCACTCAGCTCTGCTGAGGCCTGACCTGAGGAGCCACATCTCAGGGGAGACCGGGGATCATCTGTTGGGCAGAGTCAGCCACAACCCTTGCTCTGTCCAGCCTGTGCCCTACCTTCTTGCCTGCTCACTAGCTGGCTCCTGCAGACATCAGCCTTTCTGCCCAGCAGGCGCCAAGAGGAACTTTAGCTGCTCTAGGTTAGGGATGAAGCCATCTATGTGCCTGGCAGGAAAGCTTACCACCTCCAAACCTCAGCCCTCAAGCCCAGGAGGACCATCTGCACCCCTCATCGTGGCTTTCCTGTCCCAGCTCCAGAAGGAGAGTCTGGGGTTCGCCCTTGTCCCTGACCTCCAAAGGGAGGCAATCAGATAAGGGATTTGGAAGGGAGGTAACTCATCAAGGAGCCTGCCTGCTCCGCAGAGCATCAAATCAGCTGAGAAAATAACAACTGTGTCATCAAAATTAACTTGCCTTTGCAACCAGCAAGAGTGGCTCTGGGACTCAGACAGGGGGACTGATCTGGGAGCCCCATCCCAGCCCTGGTCCTCTAAGGGCTGGCTGCAACCTGGGGTGCCTCACCTTCTATACTTTCCCAACCCTTGCCCCATCCCATCCCCACCCTCAGTCCCACCGCAAGGATGGAGTGGGTTTCATAAAAACCAGCTACATTGCTGCCTGCAGGTGAGGCCGGACCCAGCGCTGTCCATAGTGGGCCCCAGTGCCCTTGGCTAACTTTCCCAGCCGGGCTGGGTAAGGCCAGGACTGCTTGGGAGATGCTGCCCCTTAGTGGAGAGGAGTGGAAGGACCACATGTAAAGACAGGCAGCTTCAGCTGGGGAAGCTGACATCAAAGGGAGCCTTTCCCCCAGGGGCAGTCACACCTGTGCCAGGGCATGCCAAAAACCCAGAGTAAGGGAAAAGGCCTGGATTTCTAGGCCCACAGTCACTCTTTTACCCATGTTTTCATCTTTCTATTTCCTTCCTTCCTTCCTCCCTCCCTCCCTCCCTCCCTCTCCTCTTTCTTCCTCCCTCCCTCCTTCCCTTCCCTTCTTTCTTTCTTTCTTTCTTTCTTCCCTTCTTTCTTTCTTTCTTTCTTTCTTTCTTTCTTTCTTTCTTTCTTTCTTTCTTTCTTTCTTTCTTTCTTTCTTTCTTTCTTTCTTTCTTTCTTTCTTTCCTTCTTTCCTCCTTTGTCAGTCATGGGGCTTGAACTCTGGGCCTGAATGCTGTCTCTCATCTCTTCAGTCCAAGGCGAGCCATAGCACCACTTCCAGTTTTCTGAGTGGTTTATTGGAGATAAGAGTCTCACAGACTTTCCTGCCTGGGCTGGCTTTGAACCTCGATCCTAAGATCAGCCTCCTGATTAACTAGGATTACAGGCGTGAGCCACCGACACCTGGCTCCTTCTATTTCTTTAAAAGCATTTTAATCCTTTAAAAAATATCTATAAATACTTTCACAGTTTCAATTCAACACGTCAGTTTGTGCATACAGTGCGTTTTGATCAGTGTTATTCCTTCCATTATTCTCCTTCCCCAATCCATCCATCCAAACCCTCCCCTCCCCTTATGATTCCTAGTTTTCTGTTTCTTCCTCTTCTCCTGGCCTCCCCCTCCCTAGTTATGGGGCTGTGTGACCCTAGAACACTGCCTCAAAGGGCTGTGTGACCTCGGATGGATTAGTTCACCTCTCTGGGCCTTAATCACCAGGAATATGAAAGTACCTTAAGAGCCTTTCTGTTGGGAAAAACGGATGCCCTTGTACACAGTTCTCCCTTTAAAAAATGTTCTGGACCTATGAGCCTCTCCAGTGGTGAAAACTGATGTCCATGCACCAACCTTTCATAGTTTTCCCTAAAAAAAGTTCTGGACCTATGAGTCATCACAAGATAAGGCTTATAAACCTTGGGTTCTGTCTCCAGGGTTGTGTGTGATAGTTCATGCTTGTAATCCAATCAACTTAAGAGGCAGAGACAAGAAAATCACAGTTCAAGGCTAACCTGGGCAGTTAGTAAAACCGTATCTCAAGAACAAAATCAAAAGAGAGCCAAGCACCAGTAGCTTATGCTGTAATCCTAGCTACGCAGGAGGCTGAGATCTAAGGAATGCAGTTCAAACCCAGCCCAGGCAGGAAAGACCATGAGACTCTTTTCTCCAATAAACTACTCAGAAAAAGCTGGAAGTGGAGCTGTGGCTCAAGTGGCAGAGCACTAGCCTTGAGCTAAAGAAGCTCAGAGACAGCACTTAGGTCTTGAATTTAAGCACAGGACCAGCACAAAGTAAAAGGGAAGGCTGAAAAGAAGCATGGGTCAAGTGGTAGAGCCTTTGGCTAGCAAGTTCAAGGCCTGGATTCAATTTCTTCTGGCAGAAAAAAAAGGGGCAAGTTGTGTATCCTGTCCTAGAGAAGTGTTTGTAAGTTCACTTTTTATTAGCAGCAATAAATCTTCTAGAGGAATATGGTTAGAACGTGAGCTAAAGACTATATAATGTTTCTATACCTTGCTTTTTTGATTTTTAACCTCCTTTATTTTTTAGAAAACAGATGGTTTTCTATAAACTTACTGGATTGATTTCACAGTTAAGGATGGAGGTCACCTGTCCTGTGCACCACACAGTCCTTCCTTGTTGGGCAAAGGCTTGAGCACCTGTCACCAAAGCATAGAGTTTGGTGACCCAGTGGCCGAGTCACTCGGTGGCACCATATGACATGCCAACTCTTTTCTCCACAGATTGCAGAGACCTACGCCTTCCTCCCCAGAGAGGCTGTCACCCGCTTCCTGATGAGCTGCACTGAGTGTCAGAAGAGGATGCACTTCAACTCCAATGGTCTGGAGCCCAAAGGTAAGGGGCAGATGTATTGCAGGGCCCAGGCAGGAGTGGCCTTTGCCTGGCACTAGTGCTGAAAAATGTAGGTCTGGCTGCTGTCACCATTTCCAGAGGCCAGTGTAGGGTGGTGAGCTGCCCAACGGACCTCATTAACATTTTTTTTTTTTGGTTGTGGGGCTTGAACTCTGGGCTTGGCACTATCCCTATGCTTTTCAGCACTCTACCACTTGAGCCACAGCGCCACTTCCGGCTTTCTAGTGGTTTATTGGAGATGAGAGTCTCATGGACTTTTCTGCCCAAGCTGGCTTTGAACCGTGATTCTCAGATCTCAGCCTCCTCAGTAGCTGGGATTACAGGCCTGAGCCACCGACAACCAGCTTCTCATTAACTTTTAAACCAAGTTCTCTCTTAGAATCCAGTAATCCATCCTTACTGCCTTTCTCTTTTTTTTGGTAGGTTGTGGGGCTTGAACTCTGGGCCTGGGTACTATCCCTCAGCTCTTCAGTTCAAGGCTAGCACTCTACCACTTGAGCCACAGCACCACTTCCAGTTTTCTGAGTGGTTTATTGGAGATAAGAGTCTCATGGACTTGCCTACCTGGGCTGTCCTTTAACTGAGATCCTCAGGTTTCAGCCTCCTGAGTAGCTAGGATTACAGGCATGAGCCACCAGCGCCGGGCTTCTCTACTGCCTTTCATGGCCTAGTCCTTCTTGCCTTTCATGGCCCTACCTCCCACCCAGGTTCCTGTTGGAAATGGTCACCCTGATCACCAGTGCCACCCAGGCCTTTATCTTGGCTGATGTTCCCCATACATATATGTGGACCTGGCTACAGGCTCTCTGAGGAGCATACTGCCAGTGTCCTGGTCAGGACCACAGCACTCTATTAGGACTAGGCCGTCTCTAGGGTCCATTCTCTCCCTTGTATGTTCCCTTGTAGTCCTCTGAGCAGTAGATCCAGGGGACTGATTAGAATTTTAAATGTACATAGCACCTGTGACCAGATAAATTTGTGCCTGGGAACAATGTCCATGTTGACCAGCCCGATCTATGAGAGCAATAGGGACCCCACTTCAGCTTACACCCTCACCTCAAGCACCTCTTCAAGGGCCTGTGTGCCTGAGGGCAGCACTAGCACATTGATTGGTCTGATATAATTTGTCCTGAAAGATGGTGCTGAGGTGGGTTGTATATCAGGATTTGGGGCCTACATCCACACACTGAGGACCCCCCTGGGTACCAGGCATGCAGACGATGCTGATGCCTCTGTGTGTGTGTGTGTGTGTGTGTGTGTGTGTGTGTGTGTGTGTGTGTGTGTGTGTTCCCCTGTATGGAAGGAGTGTGGGAAAGAAGCATAAGCAAATTATACAGATGTAGTTCAAGTAGTAGAAACCAACCATGTACAGACCAAGCTGACCACAAGTAGGGCACCAGAGCCCATGCATCAGGTGGCCTTTCCTCACTGTTGTCCCTAATGTGTGCAAGCAACTCACTGTCCTGGGGCTGCTAGGCCATGGCTGCCTTGCTGGGGTACATGGGACAGCTTCTGAATTATGAAGGACAAGAACCTTCTCAGTGCTCATTCTGGGGTTGAGAGCAGGGCCACAATCTAGGGGTATGAGCTACAAGTTAGCTGCTGTGTATCCTGGGCAAGTGACTTCTCTGATCCTCAGTTTCTCATGAGGTAGGATGAATAATGATCTCTACTCAGAGTGCCAGTGGGGCTTTAGGTTTACCCCTATGCCTGGCACAGGGCTCCCATCTGGGAAGTAAGCATGGCTATCACAGTTGCTATGATAACATGGAAGCCTGAGGGCCCCTGGCCCTAGGGCCAAGATAGCCTTTGGTGCCCACAGATGGGCCAGGAACGCTTTCCAGCTGCCTGGAATCTTGCCCACCCAGCTGCCTGCTCCTCCCATTTCTGTCCTAATTGTTTCCATAGCAACTGGCGGAGTCAGACACTGAACTGCTGCCTGCAGGGGCAAGACTGCAGGGGGGGGGGGTGGAGAACTGCAGCTCTATCTTGATACACCTCCCCCAGCTCCTTGGCAAAGGCTGCAAGGTCCTAGGGCTGTGGGCTCTACTCCTCCTCAGCTGGGTGTACAGGAGGCAGTGTGAGCCCAGCACAGCCTGCTTCCTTTCCTCACTGGCTGCCACTCCTGTGGTGTGTCATCCCAGACTAAAGAAGGAGGGAGAATATAGCCAGATGCTGCCAGAATACAAACCAGCTTGGTGGGCTCTGTGAGGAGCTCACTCTTGGCAGGACTGAGACCAGGCACCTGGCTGTGATGAGAGTGACACACTTCCTCACAGTGTCATGACCTCCAGTAGTGTGCCTGGCAGTGGTAGGGACTGTCCTTCCCCTTGAAGAGAGAGGACCCAGGAAGCAGGCATAATGTGGCTCATGGATCAATGTGACTCCTAGGTCAAGCAGGCCTCAGCGTTCAGCTCTGTTCTCTGCTGTGTGTCCTTGGGCACACAGGGAGCCTCACTGAGTATATCCTGCTCATAACAGCTACCACAATCCTAGAAGGTATCTGTCTTGGCTTAAAGCTGAGAAAACCAAGGCCGGAGAGGTATTGGGTGAAATCATTCATTGAGGTTCTTCTAGGACATAGACACAAAGAGGCAGAACTTTTGCATCAGCAATGTGGGAGAAAGGCCTTCCTCTGGTCCTAAGGATGCGGGTGAAACAAGGAACTCATAGTGCCAGGCACCTGGCACTCAGTGGATACCAGGGTATGCTGGCCCACATTGCTGCATCATGGTGCCCAGACCTAGGGTGGCCCCACCTAAATGCACACAACCAGCCTCCACCAAGGTGGGGTGAGTAATGCTTCACCACACCCAGGCAAGCATTCAGGGTCCACAAAATGGTTGTAGAGTAGAAACCACTTGTGTGGTTTCTAGAAGCTGCCCATGGACAGCCTGAGTCTGAAAGGCTCCCCTGTGTGTTTAGAGGCCAAGGCCAGCCCCCTTAGCCCCCACCCCCATACCCAACCTGCAGATCTTCCTCTCTCCTCCTGACCCAGCAGGAGGCTGGAAGTCCCAACCTCTACCCTATTCCACTGTACTGGCCTCTGGATGCCCCGCAGCACTGCCAGCCCTCCCTCCCCACCCCACAGCCCAGAGGCAATCTTCTTGTTCCTAACCAGGAAGGTGGGGAGAGAGGGAGACAAGGGACAGGATGGAGACTTCTCCAGAGCCACTGAGAGAGTGCCATGCTTCCTGGCCTCATGCTAGACAGAAAGAGAGGAAACAGAGCGGCTTGTCCCCAGCAGAACGTGAGGCCTGGACAGTCCCCTGGCCTCCTCCTGCACCAGGAGCATAAACAAAGGAGGCCTCGGAGGATCTCAAAGTCTGAGGATGGGAAATTCCAGGGCCTTCTGATTCCGCACCCTCTTCCACCAGGCCAAGGAGAGGAGAGAGCAAGAACCAGTTAGGCCCTGGGACCAGCTCAGCTCTGGGGGTATATTTGTTTTCTCTGCCACGACAATATTTTGTTGCAGAGTCAGAAAGCCTGACTTGAGCAACAGTGATTACAGTTCTTCAGGGAACATGCTGGTCCCTCAGGGCAGGCTTTCACAGGCCAGCCAGACTCCTCACCAAGTTCCCAATCCCCCTCCACCACACACACCTGGCCCTCCAGATCCTCCTTCTGGGCCTTCCCACCACCACCCTGTTCCAGCTCATTCTGCCACAGTGGGACCTGTCCTCTCCATTCTCAAAATTGCTGTGCAGTTGGTGGAAGTTGCATAGCCTCTCTGTATGAGGTTGTGTTCTGAGGGTATTAATACTAGCACCCACCTCGTGGGGTGTTAGAGAGCCAAGCAGGCAGGTCAGCAGGCAGTGTGGAGCACTTAGCAAATGTTGGGTAGCTGCTAGCTGTGAGATTGGACCCAGTCCTTTGGATCCTTTTCATGAAGCTTCCTGGAGCCACTCCAGGACCTGCTTAGGCTTTCCTCCGTTAGTACTAATGTGCTTCTATCTATCCCATCCTGTTTCCCTGAGCCTGGGGACTACACTACATTTGTTTTCCCCTTCTTTCCCCTTGTGCAGCACACCAATGCTCCTCAAAGGAACAATAGTCAATCCATAGGGAAGGAACATGTCCATCCCCTTGTGAGTTGGCCCCAGGCCTGAGCCCTGTGTCTGGCTAGTCTGGTGGTTCCTCTGTGCCAGGCTCCTCATAAGCCTGCCTTTGGTCACCCAGACCCGCCTGGGAGATCTGTTACACCTCAGTCATTTGTACCCAGAAGCTTCTATCAGCTCTGGAACAAGGAGTTCTTCCACGCTGCGGGTGAAGACTCATGAGGATACCACCTCCTGTCCCGCCTGGCCAGTGGGAGGGCCACTCACTCAGCTGGAATGTGCACTGATTGATGGGGGCCCCTGAAGGGGTCAGTGGTTGGCTGGGTCTGGCCTGGGCAACAAATGCCTCTGCGTCTTTGACTCTTCTCAAGTCAAGGAAGAATGGGCCTGGCACTTAGGCTGTTCTCGGTTTTCCTTGGCAAGGAGGAATTGGAATGTTCTCAGGACACCAGAAGTCTGTTGGACTCCTAACTCACCTCTCTCCATGGCTACAGTATCCTGTGGTATAGTGGCATCAGGCTATTTGCAGTGTCTTGGGCATGACTCTCCCATCTTTCTGCTTTAGCTGTCCTGGTGTTTGTCCCTCCTGTGAGCATCTGACTCAGGCTCCACTACCCTATGTTCCCCTCTTTCCCACTAATCTCCCTCTTGCATGTGTCCATTCATGACACCCAGAGTTTGGGGCTCCCCACTGCTGAAAGCTCTGCCTGCCTTTTCCTCACTGCAGCAGTCAAGAACGAGCCTCCCACCGCCAGCTCCATAGCTCATTTCCTCACCTGGAATGTCCCCTGCCCACCAACCACTGCCATCTCAGCAGGGCTCTAGCTCTGGGAAGTACAGGACCAAGGCCTTGGCTGGCACACCAGTCACAGGTATTCTCTGATGGGTCTGCACATCTGCCCAGGATGTCCCAGATTCCCCCTCACCAGGTGTCCTGCCTGCCTCTTCTGAGTGCTCCTGGCTCCTGGCCAGCCCAGAAGCAGCTTCTGCTCTGTGGAGACTCTGGGAAGGGAACAGACCAGGGAAGACACACTTCTGCCTTCCACGTTTGCCACCCTAAGCCACACCATTACTGGCTTTATTGACAATACTTTCTGATAAACAGTCATGGCATTTCAGGCAGGACATGGTGATCACCAGCTCCCTGTCCTTGAACAGCCAAGCACAGTCACTGCTCCCCCCACAACAGAGTGCTGTTCACTCCAAGGGTGGGTGGCCTTTCACAAGTACCACGTTGTTGTAGCCTCATCTTTGAGGAAATGAAGTAGAAGTGGCTATTCTAACTACAGTCCATAATCTGCAGACAGGAACCATGGCTCTCAATGTCATCTCTGGAAGATACATTTGACATATGGCCTCCAACCCAATCTCTCCTGGGAGGCCAGAGCCTTAAAAGCCTCCTGGAACTACACAAGTCATGACTCGTGACATGGTAGGGAGAAGAGGGGTACAAAAGCACACCTTAGTTTCTCCTCTGCCAGGCACTTTAGACCACAGGGCTTCCTTGCCCCTACCCCAGGAAAAAACTTTAAGATGCAGAGTGCAGAAGATCCCCATGTGGTGGAACGCCTGTAACAGGAGGTTGAGGTAGGAGGATCACAAGTTTGAGTCCAGCTGAGATACATAGGGAGAGTGTCTAAAAAAAAAAAGGGGGAGGCTGTGGAGGGCGGTCCATTTCAAGCCAACTTCTGAGAAATTCTGTTAATGACATTTAACTTTAAACATCAGGACAAAGTTCTACATTTTTATAACAAACAGTTGATCAGTGCAGTCAAGTCTTCAGGGTCCAGTCTGGCTCTGGGCTGCAGGCCTGCCCCTATCCCAGCCACCTAGCATCTCCCCTCTCCCCTCATCTTCTTTGGGAAACTTCACCTTCCAAAACCTTTTTTCCACCCCAAGCAGAAACTCTGAACCATTTAACTGCCCATCTCTTCCCCATCCCCCCACCCCACCCTCCTGCCCTGGTGACCTCTTTTCTACTTTCTGTCAGTGATTTATCTGCTCTAAGTAATTTGTATGTTCATACAGTATTTGACCTTTGGCACCTGGCATCTTTCCCTTGATACAGTTTTCATGGTTTCTGGGGTCTTGGGGTAGGGGTAGGGGGGTGGTATGGAAGGATAGGTATAAGAGATATCCTCGGTATGACCTCTATATGTCCTTGGCCCTGCACCTGCCTCCCCTTCAGTGTGCACTTTGGTGTGGTGGTGATGGAGATGGAGGAAGTCAAGCTTTATCTAGTTGGGAAGTGGCTCGTACTTGTCATTCTACTCAGATCCCAGCCAATCAGTGGAACAAGGAGATTGTTCTCTCAAAGACCTGGGGTGCAGTGGGATGTCCTATAGCTTCTGGAGACAGGAGAAAGCCAGGGAGCAGGTAACCAAACTTCCCTGGGTATCTTTTTTTTTTTTTTTTGGTCGGTCACGGGGCTTGAACTCTGGGCCTGGGCGCTGTCCCTCAGCTCTTCAGCTCAAGGCGAGCGCTCTACCACTTGAGCTACAGCGCCACTTCCGGTTTTCTGGTGGTTTATTGGAGATAGGAGTCTCATGGTCTCTCCTGCCCGGGCTGGCTTTGAACCGCGATCCTCAGATCTCAGCCTCCTGAGTAGCTAGGATTATAGGCGTGAGCCACCAGTGCCCGGCTTTCCCTGGGTATCTTGACCAAGTGTTTCAGGAGCTGCCAAATATTCCTACCTTCTTACCTATGGATTTTATTTCTTGGAATCAGTCCTTAAAAAGAAAAGATCAGAAATATAGACAGCTATGTATGTAGAGTGCTGACCCCTGCAGTGTTGTTTATAATAGCCACAATAGGAAGAAACCAAAACAACCAATCATGAAGGAAAGGCAGAAGTAAATTATGATATTACACAGCTACAAAAATTACATTTGCAAAATTAAACAATTGTGTTGGTGAGTAAAATACTTAAGATAAAATTCTAAGCAACAAAACTACTATATGCTACAATAGCAAGTATGTAAGGAAAAAAAATCACAGGGTTAAAGAGAAGCATATGCCAAGCTGCTTAGTGAAATTATAGGTTCTTAAGTTTTTCTTCACATCTTTCTGCACTTCGGAGATTCTCTACCGAGAAAAAAGAAAACAAGAAAAAAGAACAAGAACATGTATTGCTTTGATCTTCAGGACAGCAAAGCAACAAACGGGAGGAGAAGGCTCTTCCACATGTGACTGAGGAAGAACCAGCGTTTGGGAGGGTGATAGACACTGGAGGCCTGGCTCAGGCCTGGGAGCCATATGGTACCTAAGGGCGCTTTGGGGGAGATAACTGGGGCCGAGGACGGGGAGGTGGGGTGGAAGCAGATGTTCCCCTGGAAGAGCACTGGCTTAGACAAGGATTGGAAACTTGACTGCCTTTGAGGGCCTGGCAGGTATCCTAATTGAGCAAAGGTGTGCCATATGATAAGGAGTGCTGGGAGGGAGGGTTGGGACAAAAACCTGCCTGAAAGAAGTGACCCCTGCCTGGCTGTACAGTTGCTTGCCGTGGGCCAGGGGCCCAGTGTGTGGTCAGACCATTCAGTTCCCAAACTGGTCAAGTTCCCCATTTTTAACATGTGAAATCTTTAATCAGACTCTGGCACCTCACAGATAAGTGTTTTCATACCGAGCAGCCCACTTCTACAGGCCAGAGACTGTAGGCAGGCTACTGTCAGTGCCCCCCAGCCCCCCCTCTTACTCCCCCCACCCACCATGGGTGACAGACCTCCTGTCCAGACTGAAAGGGGTTTCCTTTTGTTTTTCCTGCCAGAAAACGAGCCTCCATCTCCTCTGGTCTCCGGGATTATTGATTACAACATGCCCCTCACCTCCACGTACTTGAAACAGATGAAGTTGCGAGTGATGAATTCTCAGGAGCAGGTAAGGCGTCTGTGCCTCCACCCCCACCCACTGCCCCTCCGTCCTCAAGCCTGTGTAAACACCCGGAAGCCAAAGAGACCTTTATCTGGTCATCTGTGCTGTGCAGTCAGGTGGAAAGGGGAGAGGTGGGAAGGAGAAGAATGTGGTTTCCTCCTTGGAGGGTCTTCAGTGAAAGCCCTGTGGCTCAGGCTTTGCAAAACTTTCTCCAAGGCCTGTAGACCTTGACCCTCAGGTTTCTCTCTTACTGCCTTTTATCTGCTGCATTTACCCACTGGCCTCCTTTCCCCCAGGGAGGTGTGAGAGAGGCCCCTGGCCGCCTGCCTGTGGCCTCTGGCACTCTCAGGTCCCAGGCAGGCAAGGAGGATGGGCCTTGGAGAGTGGCCCAGGCTAGATAAGACCCCGGGGCCCCCTGGCTGTCCAAGACTCCTAGCTGTGGCTTGCCAAGGCTGTCAGGCACCATGGAAACAGGCAATGAAAAGAAAATCTCCCTGCCTGCCTGCCTTGCACATAGACCACCTTCTAACCCCTTGCAGAGCGAGCATCCTGACTGTCTTTGAAAGGCCTGTGTGAGGGTGAGGGCCTCTGCTGCTGTCTAGTCCAGGGAAGAATTTTTTGCCACCACCTCCAAGTGCTCCTATTCCTGGTGGCATCAGAGCCCAGATCCTTGAGGCCTGACTATGAGAATGGGCAGCTTCTCCCCCATGGAAACAAGAGTCAAGACTGGAGTCTGACTTTCAGCCCTGGGCATGTGTTCTCTTGAACTACTGGTCTTGGCAATGTGAGCCTGTGTGTGCCAGGGATGGTGGCTGGCAGCGGTAGAGGCTCTGTGGTGATGTAACAGGGTGAGTTCAGGTCCATGTTACCCAGTTGGAGGTAACTGAGGCTGGTTGGCTGTCTTCTCCCATGCCCACATCATGGCCAGCCCCTGCAGACCGAATGAAGTCAGCTTTGTTCTAGGAGGTGAGCCGTTTGCTTTGGCCTCTGTGCTACTCACCCAAGAGGGCGTGTCCAACAACAGTAATCATAGTGGGTGAATGGCCCATGTTCTTCTGGGGGGTGTCAGTAACGAGGGAGGGTATCAGTGTCCGTCTTGCTGGTGGTTATGAAATCTCAGCCCCACTGCGCAGATTTCCTCTGCTGACCAATGAGGAGGAATCCATTGCCTTTCCTCTCCTGTATCTACCCACACTGTCCCTCCTCACATGCTTTTGTTACCACGCTGGGCTGTAGCAAGAGTGAGGCACAGAACTACACAGGCAGATGGGCCTGGTCAGGGTGGGCAGCTGCCACCTCCTCCTCCTGGATCCTGATCTGGTTTTTAAATCTTACCACATTTTCACTTGCATCCATAGAAGGAGGGAAGTTAATGCTGTGGGTTAGGCGCCTCAGCAGCCATACAGCCATTCACAAATGTGTATGGAGCCGAAGAGAAGCCATCTCTATGGGAGACAGGCACTACACCCAGCACATACTAGGTGGCGGTAAGCAGCTGTGAGGAAATGATTGATTAGGTGTGATGGTATAGGTATGTGGAAGGCTTTTTTTTTTTCAAGACACATGGTGCTGTGGGTGCTCAGAGTGGCACCAAGGGTCAGGAAAGGCTCGCCTCAGAAGAGGATGCTTTACTTGAAATATGAATCTGAAAGGAAGAGAGTTCTAGGCTGAGGAAGCAGCTTGTGCAAAGGTTCTGTGGTTTAAAGGAGGATAGGGCCTGCAAGAGATCAGGGGCTAGTGTCACTGCAGCAGAGAATGCAACGAATTCTGTGGCTAAAAGCAAAGGGAAAACATTCAGTGCTGGGCACATGAGCTTTTTGGTGAGCATCTGTGAGCAAATGAAAGTTTAAGAAATGAAAGCCAGGCACCAGTGGCTCATGTTATAATCCTACCTATTCGGGAGGCTGAGATCTAAGGATTGCGATTCAAAGCCAGCCTGGGCGGGAAAGTCTGTGAGACTCCTGTCTCCAATTAATCACCAAGAAAACCAGAAGTGGCACTGTGGCCCAAAGTGGGGTAGAGTGCTAACTTTGAGCAAAAAGCCTCAGAGACAGCACCCAGGCCCTAACTTAAAGCCCCACAACTGGCAAAAAGGAAGAAAGGAAAGGAAAGGAAGAAGGAAGGGAAAGGAAGGAAGGAAGGAAGGGGGGACAGATTGTTCTGGCAGGCAAGGCTCAAGCTATTCCCAAAGCAAGGAAAAATTGTGGAGGCTTTGTCCCCAGGGCCCTGAGAGTCCATCTGGGGCTGAAACTGAATGTGTAGTGGCCTCTGAGAGCAGCAGCTCCTCCTACGTGCTTGAAGATCAAAGCACAGCCCCTCCTCACACCACCTGGCAGGTTAGCAGCATCTCTTCCCCCACTAAGGGCCTCCCAGCTGTCACACCCCCACACCGCCCCCCCTGCCCCGAAGCACAGCTGGGAGGTCTCAAGGCCTCAGCCTCCCAGGTAGCACTGTTGTCCCTGTTTATGGCTGGCACATGTCGAAACAAGAAATTACATTGCTCATGCAGTTATTTATCTGCAGCACCAAGGAGGTCCAAGGACCAGCAGACTTTGGTTCTTTAGCTTCAGTTGAAACTGAAAATGCATTTCCTTGAGGGCTGTCCTTGAGGGACAGCTGAATGTCCACATCTAAACCGAGCCTTGGCATAGATTCTGACCTGTCAAATCCCATGTCCCAAAGCAAGGCTTTGAATGTGGCTTCATTCCATCACTCTGACCATAGAATGGCAACAGAGGGCTTTCATAGTGCTTGCTCATCACCAATACCAGCTACCTGGAACATAAACCCACATCTAAAATAAAATAAAACTGGGAACCAGGATAGATTATAGCAATGCTGAATGAAGCTCTGCATTGAAAAACGTTGAGTGAGGAAGTACAGTGGCCCCTTGGCCTCATGGGTCTATGGTTGCAATTGGGGCCACTGTTAAAGAAAAAATAGTCATGCATGTGAGGATGCTGAGTTCAGTATTGCACTACAGATGTTTGTTCACTTTTCCCATCATTCTGCCCAACTTCCATTAAAGACACATGCCTTTTTAATAAATCTCAGATTTTAAACTTATTACTTAAATCAAGCACCTTAAGTGCCCTTTTTAGCTTGGGAGGATTACTGTACTTTTACCTTTTGGGGAATCGTCGCTGCTCCCCAAGGCAGATTTTCATAGAATCAAGGGCAGAGTAACACTCAGCAAATCACATGATGAATTAAATGTGACTGAAGATAACGTGGGTCTGACTGAGAGCTTCTCCGTATCCACTGGGCCACACGGAAGCTTAAAAAGTTTGTCTGTGAATTTAAAAAAAGAAGTATTATGTTTTTGACGGCCCTTGGTCAAAACTGCATGTCACAAATCCATGACTAAGGTCAGCTTTCTGTAGTACTTGCTGTCTCTGTCTCTCTTTCTCTTTCTCTGTCTCTCTCTCTATCTCTGTCTCTGTGTCTCTCTCTGTGGGATGAGAAGAGCATTTACCTCAACTTGCTTTGCTCAGACAGGGAGCAGGCCGTGGGATTTTTTCACAGATGGACAGAATCCATTTGTTTGTAGTCCAGTCATGACAGGTAACTCCTTTTTTTTTTTTCCCCACCAGTCCTGGGGCTTGAACTCAGGGCCCGGGCACTGCCTCTGAACTTCTTTTGGAAGTATGGAAGTCTAACCCAGAAGCTGGGTTGTGGCTCAGTGGGAAAGTTTTGTTTTTTTTTTTTGTTGGTTGAACTCAGGGCCTGGTTGCTGTTCCTGAGCCTCTTTCTGGTCAATGCTAGTACTCTACCACTTGAGCCACAGTGCTACATCAGTGGGAGAATTTTTATATTGCAAACACCAGGTCTGGGTTTGATTCCTAGCTGAGAGAGAGGAGGAGTGAGGGATTACACAAAGAAAATGGTTTCTTCTCAATGCAGCAAATGTTTTTGGTGTTTTTTTTGTTTGTTTGGTTGTTTTTTGTCAGTTGTGGGGCCTGAACTCGGCCTGGGCACTGTCCCTCAGCTCTTCAGCTCAAGGCTAGTGCGCTACCACTTGAGCCACAGTACCACTTCTGGCCTTTTCTGCTTATGTGGTGCTGAGGAATCGAACCCAGGGCCTCATGCATGCAAGGCAAGCACTCTACCATTGAGCTACCCTCCCAGCCCCACTGCAAATGTTTTTAGTGCCCTTGATGTATAGATGATGTGGGGATCAAGACCCTGGTTGTTGTCACTGAAGTGACCATAGAGAGCTGAGAATACTGTGTGTAGTGTTAGAGCTTTTCTCCTACTCAGGAATACTCTGTTATTCTGAGTCTCTTTACCCTCTGTGCCATGGTTCCGCCTATCTGATAAGGTGGTTAGCAAGACTTTATCCCCAAAACAAGACAAAACATGATCCAGTATTATAGTTTTCCTGTCATTCTCTCATTTTCTTGTCCAATCATCCATTCATTCATCTGAGCCAGGCACTGGTCCAAGTGCTAGGCCCCACCTACCTGGCTCCTACCCACTGAGCTATACTGCTCAGTGAGTAAGTGAGAGAGAGATAAGGAAAACACAGATCAACTCTGTGGGGTCTGCAGGAGGGGCTTAGAGGAGAGGACTCAACATGTAAGGATGCTGGTTCCAATGGAGGGATTAAGATGGGTACCTGTTTGGTGTCCAGTGCACTGCACAATTGACCCCTTACATCTCAGGACTCTGCAGGGTCACTTTATTTTCCTCATTCAACAGATCTGATAGCTTGAGTCCTGGCTCAAGGTCACACAACCACTAAAATAAGTAGAAACCCAGATTTCCTTCATTCTCAATCTGAGAACTGGTATACCTGCTAGCTGGACATGCTCATTAGAACCTGCAGCAATCTGGGGACTGCTGGGATAAGTCCTTGGTGAGCAGCCCCAACAGGTTTGGAGGAGAATTAGGAGATGATGCACAGAGAGAGACCAAGATAGGCAAGAGCTGGCCTGAGACCTGGAAGCCCCCTTAAATATGAGGAAAACAGGAATTTCAGAAAGGAACTTTGCAGGGGGCAAGAG